GCCGGAACATTGCGATGCCAAAGTTTAGCCCGATCGAGCTCGAGACAAACGACGCCTCAAAGACGGGCAGGAGGCCAAAGATGCCGAAGACGGCGATGTTGGTCACGAGGTACGTCCGCTTCGGCAGCTCCGCAATCTCCTCCAGAAACGGCGGCAGCGTGATGAGCGGCTTCTTCGCATCCTTCGGCCTGAGGTCCTCGCCAAACTTGCGGTCCGGCTTCAGCGAGCCGCTCATGCGCTGCCGCAGCCGGTGGTCCATCACACGGTCCTTCGCAACCTCGAGCTTGATGACCGCCTTCGTGTTGCCCGCGTTCTTCGCTTTCAGCGTCTCGTACGCAGCCATGATGCCATCATACGACTCGTCCTCTCCGATCCCGAGCGAGCGGAAGGCCGCCGACACCTCCTCCGATGGCTCGAGCTGCATCGAGATGCGCGCGACAGCAGGCCGCGCCGCGGCCGGCATGGGTCGCGGCAGCGATACCATCGGACCGGCCAGGCCGGCTGCAGCGGCGACGAGCGCCATCATTGAGCTCAGAGAGGCCAGGAGCGAAAAAGAAAAACTACGGTTTTGGAATGAGCCGTGTAAAAGTCGATGAGTGGTCAGATGGTTAGTGCCCGAGAGCGAGGGGTCCGGGGGGGAGCACAAACATAGGACGCCCAGCCTTGCCCTCGTGCCGCCGAGTGCATATCCTATGCGAGAGAGATCCCCTCACCCCTGTGCCCTGTGCCCAGCCCTCTCCGCGCGGCGATGCGCCCTCCCCCCTCGCTTTTGCAAAATCCTGCAAAGGTGGGGACGTGTCTGTCCTCGACCCAGCCCTAGCTTGGGATGTCCTTTGTATTTATTTATTTTATTAAAAGTGTTCGGTCCGGAATCTTGGGAACGGGGAAGGTGAGATGACACGACTTCACAGATGTCTGATCAGATGTGTAAGGGCAGTACGGGGTCTGTATCTGTAAGCCACAAGGTGTGTAGAACAGGCAACAGCATCAGCATCAGCCTCTAAAAGTCAACTCTGCATGTCGCGCGTTAACCCGCACTGCCCCCCGCAAACAAGCTCACATCCCGCCCTGGCCCTGCGAATCGCCCCCGACTTACACCCGACCTCTCTCCGAGCGCTCTGCTCTCGCCCTCCGCTCCGCGCGTGGGCTCTCTAAGCGCGCCGCGGCATCTGTTGGCCTGGGCGCCGCATCGCCCGCCGCCGCGGCTGCGCGCCGGTCCTACGGCCTCCGCTCGCCGGAGGGCAAGCTGCTCTTGTGCTTGAGCAGCGCCTGCTCCATGGGGGGAAGGGGGGGGTCGGGGGGGGTCGGAGGAGCGGCGGCGCGAGCCGCTCCGCGGGCGCGGAGAGAGGCGCGCCTTTTTGAAGTCAGCCTGGTTCGGCCATAGCGAGGCGGCGTGCCCGTTGAGCGGCGAGTCGAGGTTTGGATCCCCTGAGATGGCGCGCCGAGCGCTTGTGAGCGAGACTCGCGCAGGCGGCGAGGGGGAAGGGGGAGAGCGCTGGCTCCCCCTCCGCGGTACGTGTGTGCGTGTGTGTGTCTCCCGAGAGGCGCGCACCAAGCAGCGACTGGATGGAGAGGAGGATGGTGCG